AATATACGGTCAAAGTTCAAAAAGTTTGACTACAAAAGTCAAACTGGGAAATTAATTATAGGACGGAGGAAGTAATTTTTTTAGTTTTGGCCTCTTGCTCTAGGGGTACCATCACATTTTTTGTCCAAAATCTAAATTCATCAAAAAATTTCCCAAATTCTACATGGTTATTTCTATTTGCATGTAAAATCCTCTGTAATAGTTTCATGTCAAAAAGACTTGTCAGTAATGTATAAATTATAATTTTTTTAGTTTTGGCCTCGAGCTGTAGGGGTATCATCACATTTTTTGGCCAAATTTTAAATTCATCAAAAAATTTCCCAAATTTGACATAGAAATTTCTATTTGCATGTAAAATCCTCTGTAAAACTTTCATGTGAAAAAGACTTGTCAGCACTATACAAATTTTTATTTTTTTAGTTTTGGCCTCGAGCTCTAGGGGTACCATCACATTTTTGGCCAAATTTTAAATTCATCAAAAAATTCCCAAATTTGACATGGAAATTTATATTTTTGCATTTAAAATCCTCTATAAAAGTTTCATGTCAAAAAGACTTGTCAGTAATGTATAAATTATAATTTTTTTAGTTTTGGCCTCGTGCTCTAGGGGTACCATCACATTTTTTGGCCAAAATCTAAATTCATCAAAAAATTTCTCAAATTTTACATGGAAATTTCTATTTGCATGTAAAATCGTGTGTAAAAGTTTCATGTCAAAAAGACTTGTCAGTAATGTATAAATTATAATTTATTTAGTTTTGGCCTCGATCTCTAGAGGGTCCATCACATTTTTTGGCCAAATTTTAAATTCATCAAAAAATTTCCCAAATTCTACATGGTTATTTCTATTTGCATGTAAAGCCCTCTGTAATAGTTTCATGTCAAAAAGACTTGTCAGTAATGTATAAATTATAATTTTTTTAGTTTTGGCCTCGATCTCTAGAGCTTCCATCACATTTTTTTTGCCAAATTTTAAATTCATCCAAAAATTTCCCAAATTTGACATGGAAGTTTCTATTTGAATATAAAATCCTCTGTAAAAGTTTCATGTGAAAAAGACTTGTCAGTAATGTATAAATTACAATTTTTTAGTTTTGGCTTTGAGATCTAGGGGTACCATTACATTTTTTGGCCAAATTTTAAATTAATCAAAAAATTTCCCAAATTTGACATGGAAATTTCTATTTGCATGTAAAATCCTCTGCAAAAGTTTCATGTCAAAAAGACTTGTTAGCAATGTATAAATTATAATTTTTTAGTTTTGGCCTCGAACTGTAGGGTACCATCACATTTTTTGGCCAAATTTTAAATTCATTAAAAAATTTCCCAAATTTGACATGGAAATTTCTATTTGCATGTAAAATCCTCTGTTAAAGTTTCATGTCAAAAAGACTTGTCAGTAATGTATGAATTATAATTTATTTAGTTTTGGCCTCGAGCTCTAGGGGTACCATCACATTTTTTAGCCAAATTTTAAATTCATCAAAAAATTTCCCAAATTTGACTTGGAAATTTATATTTGCATGTAAAAGCCTATGTAAAAGTTTCATGTCAAAAAGACTTGTGAGTAATGTATAAATTATAATTTTTTTACTTTTGGCCTCGAGCTCTAAAGGTACCATCACATTTTTTGGCCAAATTCAAAATTCATCAAAAAATTTCCCAAATTTGACATGGAAATTTCTATTTGCATGTAAAATCCTCTGTAAAAGTTTCATGTCAAAAAGACTTGTGAGTAATGTAGAAATTATATTTTTTTTAGTTTTGGCCTCGAGCTCTAGAGGTACCGTCACATTTTTTGGCCAAATTTTAAATTCATCAAAAAATTTCCAAAATTTGTCATGGAAATTTCTATTTGCATGTAAAATCCTTTGTAAAAGTTTCATGTCAAAAAGACTTGTGAGTAATGAATAAATTATAATTTTTTTACTTTTGGCCTCGAGCTCTAGGGGTACGATCACATTTTTTGGCCAAATTTTAAATTCATCAAAAAAATTCCCAAATTTGACATGGAAGTTTCTATTTGCATGTAAACCACTCTATAAAAGTTTCATGTCAAAAAGACTTGTCAGTAATGTATAAGTTACAATTTTTTTAGTTTTGGCTTCGAGCTCTAGGGGTACC